GTCGGTAACATCCCGCGCTCCGAGAGCGATTTGGTCTGGGTTCGTATCCTGGCTGGGGAGGATTGACTAGCTGTCGGTCCTTAACTGTGCGCCCCCCTGTTCACCCGGTAGTAATAGGGTTCCCGGTTGTTAAACGATTGGCGAGTCGTGTTGGAAGGAAGACTGGCAGGCAAGGGTTGTCAGGAGCTGTGGGAAGGGCAGCCCTCGGGCTGATACCATGAGTCACAAGTCGTCTCCTTCACCCACCTCTGAGGACAACCTCTAGAATGGTGAGGCTTTAGGCTCACCTTAATGGAGAACAAGTGGTGATAAAGCTTTAGGCTCACCTTAATGGAGAACAAGTGGTGATAAAGCTTTAGGCTCACCTTAATGGAGAACAAGTGGTGATAAAGCTTTAGGCTCACCTTAATGGAGAACAAGTGGTGATAAAGCTTTAGGCTCACCTTAATGGAGAACAAGTGGTGATAAAGCTTTAGGCTCACCTTAATGGAGAACAAGTGGTGATAAAGCTTTAGGCTCACCTTAATGGAGAACAAGTGGTGATAAAGCTTTAGGCTCACCTTAATGGAGAACAAGTGGTGATAAAGCTTTAGGCTCACCTTAATGGAGAACAAGCGGGAGTAAGGTCTTCGGGCTGGGACTAGGTAAGGAAACCTGTGAACCCTGTATGCCGTACTCCAGGATTGGAGCTGCATACTCCAGGATTGGTCTTACATAAGTGATATACAGGGTCCTGAACGATTCCTTACACAAGTTTCTAAAGGCAGTTCTTATGTTGGCCAACCTAGCATATGCCGCTGATGATATTCTTTTGATGTGGGTCTCTGGGGACAGGTTCGGTGTGGTATCAACCCCCAGATCTTTATCTCTATTTGACTCTTGCAGGATTTCACCTCCCAGATGATACCTTGTGTTCAGCCTCCTGCTCCCTTCGCCTAATTTCATCACCTTACACTTTCCCAAGTTGAACTTTAGCAGCCATTTTCTAGACCATTCCTCCAGTTTGTCCAGGTCATCCAGTAGTCTCTGTCTATCTTCATCCGTCTTGATTCTTCTCATAATTTTTGCATCATCAGCAAACATTGAGAGGAATGAGTCTATACCCTCTGGAAGATGTGTGTGTGTGTGTACTCACCTATTTGTACTCACCTATTTGTGCTTGCGGGGGTTGAGCTTTGGTTCTATGGTCTCGCCTCTCAACTGTCAATCAACTGGTGTACAGATTCCTGAGCCTACTGGGCTCTATCATATCTACATTTGAAACTGTATATGGAGTGAGCCTCCACCACATCACTGCCTAATGCATTCCATCCGTTAACTACTCTGACACTGAAAAAGTTCCTTCTAACGTCTCTTTGGCTCATTTGGGTACTCAGTTTCCACCTGTGTCCCCTTGTTCGCGTCCCACCAGTGTTGAATAGTTTATCCTTGTTTACCCGGTCGATTCCTCTGAGGATTTTGTAGGTTGTGATCATGTCCCCCTTACTCTTCTGTCATCCAGTGTCGTAAGGTGCATTTCCCGCAGCCTTTCCTCGTAACTCATGCCTCTTAGTTTTGGGACTAGTCTAGTGGCATACCTTTGGACTTTTTCCAGCTTCGTCTTGTGCTTGACAAAGTACGGGCTCCATGCTGGGGCCGCATACTCCAGGACTGGTCTTACATATGTGGTGTACAAGATTCTGAATGATTCCTTACACAGGTTCCTGAACGCTGTTCTGATGTTAGCCAGCCTCGCATATGCCGCAGACGTTATTCTTTTTATGTGGGCTTCAGGAGACAGGTTTGGTGTGATATCAACTCCTAGATCTTTCTCTCTGTCCGTTTCATTAAGTACTTCATCTCCTATTCTGTATCCTGTATCTGGCCTCCTGTTTTCACTGCCTAGTTTCATTACTTTGCATTTACTCGGGTTGAACTTCAACAGCCATTTGTTGGACCATTCACTCACTCAGTCTGTCTAGGTCATCTTGTAGCCTCCTACTATCGTCCTCAGTTTCAATCCTCCTCATAATTTTTGCATCATCGGCAAACATTGAGAGAAACGATTCTATACCCTCTGGGAGATCATTTACATATATCAGAAACAGTATAGGTTCAAGGACTGACCCCTGCGGGACTCCACTCGTAATGTCTCGCCAATCTGAGACCTCACCCCTCACACAGACTCCTCGTCTCCTGTTGCTTAGGTACTCCTGTATCCAACGGAGTACCTTCCCTTTCACTCCAGCCTGCATCTCCAGCTTTTTCACTAGCCTCTTGTGTGGGGCACTGTATCAAAGGCTTTCTGACAATCCAAAAATATGCAGTCTGCCCACCCTACTCTTTCTTGCCTTATTTTTGTTGCCTGGTCGTAGAATTCAAGTAACCCTGTGAGGCAGGTCCTGCCATCCCTGAATCCATGTTGATGCTGTGTTACGAAGTTTTTTCGCTCCAGGTGCTCCACTAGCTTTCTTCGCACAATCTTCTCCATCAGCTTGCATGGTATGCAGGTTAGGGACACTGGCCTGTAATTCAGTGCCTCCTGTCTATCCCCTTTCTTGTACATTGGGACTACGTTAGCTGCTTTCCAAATTTCTGGCAGTTCCCCTGTTGCCAGAGATTTGTTATACACTATGGAGAGTGGCAGGCACAGTTCTTCTGCTCCTTCCTTTAGTATCCAAGGGGAGATTCCATCTGGGCCTATAGCCTTTGTCACATCCAGCTCTAGTAAACACTTCCTTACTTCCCCGCTGGTAATCTCAAACTCTTCCAGTGGTTCCTGGTTAGCTATTCCCTCTCTTATCTCTTGGGTTTCTCCTTGCTCTAAGGTGAAGACCTCTTGGAATTTCTTATTCAGTTCCTCACACACTTCCTTGTCGTTTGTAGTGAATCCTTCTGCCCCTATCCTTAATTTCATAACCTGTTCCTTTACTGTTGTTTTTCTCCTGATGTGGCTATGTAGCAATTTAGGCTGAGTCTTTGCCTTGCTTGCGATGTCATTTTCGTATTGTCTTTCTGCCTCTCTTCTCATCCTGACATATTCATTCCTGGCATTCTGGTATCTTTCTCTGCTCTCAAGTGTCCTGTTATTCCTATAGTTTATCCATGCCCTTTTACTTTGCTGCTTAGCTAGCCTACATCTCTGATTAAACCATGGGTTTCTCATCTTCATTTCACTGTTTTTCTTTTGGGCTGGGACAAACTTGTTTGCTGCGTCCTTGCATTTTTGCGTGATGTAGTCCATCATATCATGGGCTGTCTTTTCCCCTGAGCTCTGTTTCCCATGCTATATCTGTTAGGAATTTTCTTATCTCCTCATAGTTTCCCTTTCGGTATGCTAACCTTTTGGTTTCGGTATCCCTCCTCGAGTTCAATAACCCTTCTTCAATCAGGTACTCAAACACCAATACACTGTGGTCGCTCATTCCTACTGGGTCCTCAAAACCGATTTCTCTTATGACAGAGTCGTTCAGGGTAAAGACCAGGTCGAGTCTCGCTGGTTCGTCATTGCCTCTCATCCTTGTGGGTTCTCTGACATGCTGGGTTAAAAAGTTTCTAGTCACCACCTCCAGTAGTTTGGCTCTCCACGTATCCTCGCCTCCATGCGGTTCCTTGTTCTCCCAATCAATCCTTCCGTGATTGAAGTCCCCCATGATGAGCAGGTGGGATCTATTTCTACAGGCAGCAGAGGCTGCCCTGTCAATTATAGTGTTAACTGCCATGTTGTTATTTTCGTACTCTTGACTGGGTCTTCTGTCATTTGGTGGAGGGTTATATATTACTGCTACTACTATTCTTGGTCCTCCCATTGTCATGGTGCCTGCTATGTAGTCTCCGAAACCCTCACAGCCTGGGATAGCCATCTCCTTGAAACTCCATTCCTTTCTCATGAGTAGGGCCACTCCGCCTCCTCCCCAACCTTCCCTCTCTTTCCTTATTACTGTGTACTCTTGGGGAAACACGGCATTCGTTATGATTCCAGAGAGTTTTGTTTCAGTGAGTCCGATTACATTTGGGCTCACTTCTTGTGCTCTTTCCCTTAGTTCACATGCCTTGCTTGTGATCCCATCTATGTTCGACTACATTGCCCTGAAACTGACTCTCTTCTGCTTCTCCTCTGGGGGGACCTGTGGGGTCTGGGGTGAGCGGGAGCTGGGAGGATCTGGTACGGGGAGACTGGTGGAGGAGGAAGGGCTTCGGGGGGTGGGGGGGAGGGGAAGGGTAGAGGGGGGGTGAGAGGGGGAGGGTTGGGGGGGTGAGAGGCGGAGGGTTGGGGGGGGGTGAGAGGCGGAGGGTTGAGGGAGGTGAGAGGAGATTTTGGGGGATGGGGGAGAAGGGGGGGGTTAGGGGGGCAGTAAAGGGGGGGAGGGCTTGGGGGGCGTGGGGGGAAAGGGAAGGCTCAGGTGGGTGAGGAAGAGGGGAGGGTTTTAGGGAGTGGTGGAGAGGGGAAGGCTTAGGTGGGGTGGGGGAGAGTGGGGGGCTTAGGGGGTCGGGGAAAATGGAGGGCTTGTGGGTGGGAGAGATGGGAGGGTATGTGGGAGAAGAGAGGGCTTGGGGGATGGGGGAGAAGGGAGGTCCTGGGGGGAGGGGGGTGAGTGGGAGGAGAGGGGTGGGTGGGGAGAGGGTGCCTTAGGTGGGTACTTAGCGGGGGCTGACACAGGTTGGGGCAGGTAGGGTGTCTGTTGGGTGGAATGAGGGGGTGGTGCTGCACTCCCTGTGCCTCGTGCACTGTTTGAGGAGGGTTCCCCACTCCCCTCTGGGGTTGTAGGGATCTGGGTTGTGGCTCCCAGATTCCTTTCTCTCTCTCCGTGCACTGCTTCCTAGCGTCTGCTGCCTGCTTTCTCTCTTCCCTTGTCATATCCCTCTGTGTGTGTGTGTGTGTGTGTGTGTGTGTGTGTGTGTGTGTGTGTGTCCTGATCTCACCCACTGCTGCTGATACAAGCACACATAATTATTAAACACGTTTGCATGAGAATGGATAAATAAAATAACTAAATCATATTAGCATTTTAAATTAACAGCGAAGCTCTTAAAGTGGCCAGCTACCTGCGGCGTCCCGCGGGCCAGCTACCTGCGGCGTCCCGCGGGCCAGCCACCTGCGGCGTCCCGCGGGCCAGCCACCTGCGGCCTCCCGCGGGCCAGCCACCTGCAGCGTCCCGCGGGCCAGCCACCTGCGGCGTCCCGCGGGCCAGCCACCTGCGGCGTCCCGCGGGCCAGCCACCTGCGGCGTCCCGCGGGCCAGCCACCTGCGGCGTCCCGCGGGCCAGCCACCTGCGGCCACCCGCGGGCCAGCCACCTGCGGCCACCCGCGGGCCAGCCACCTGCGGCCACCCGCGGGCCAGCCACCTGCGGCCTCCCGCAGGCCAGCCACCTGCGGCCTCCCGCGGGCCAGCCACCTGCGGCCTCCCGCGGGCCAGCCACCTGCGGCCTCCCGCGGGCCAGCCACCTGCGGCCTCCCGCGGGCCAGCCACCTGCGGCCTCCCGCGGGCCAGCCACCTGCGGCCTCCCGCGGGCCAGCCACCTGCGGCCACCCGCGGGCCAGCCACCTGCGGCCTCCCGCGGGCCAGCCACCTGCGGCCTCCCGCGGGCCAGCCACCTGCGGCCACCCGCGGGCCAGCCACCTGCGGCCTCCCGCGGGCCAGCCACCTGCGGCCACCCGCGGGCCAGCCACCTGCGGCCACCCGCGGGCCAGCCACCTGCGGCCTCCCGCGGGCCAGCCACCTGCGGCCTCCCGCGGGCCAGCCACCTGCGGCCTCCCGCGGGCCAGCCACCTGCGGCCTCCCGCGGGCCAGCCACCTACGGCCACCCGCGGGCCAGCCACCTGCGGCCACCCGCGGGCCAGCCACCTGCGGCCACCCGCGGGCCAGCCACCTGCGGCCACCCGCGGGCCAGCCACCTGCGGCCACCCGCGGGCCAGCCACCTGCGGCCACCCGCGGGCCAGCCACCTGCGGCCACCCGCGGGCCAGCCACCTGCGGCCACCCGCGGGCCAGCCACCTGCGGCCACCCGCGGGCCAGCCACCTGCGGACTCATCAACACACACCTGTCTCCATGAGTCATCTCACAACGCTGCCTGCAGCCTCCAATACCAGTTTACTGGTCATTGAGCAGAGGGGGGGGGGAGTAGGCGGGGGGGGGGACTGGGGGAGGCGGGGCAGGGAAGGGGGAGCAGACCCCCAGGCATGTACCTCACTTGGAGGTGTCTACCCTCCACATCCTGTCTGTCTCACCAAACTATTTCAGTTGGTCACCACAACAAAAGTTGTTCACTCAGTAATGGTGTCGAGAACACACAAGGAGCTGGGGTATGAGGACAAGGTGCTGGGGGTATGAGGACAAGGAACTGGGGTATGAGGACAAGGAGCTGGGGGTATGAGGACAAGGTGCTGGGGGTATGAGGACAAGGAACTGGGGTATGAGGACAAGGAGCTGGTGTATGAGGACAAGGAGCTGGGGTATGAGGACAAGGAGCTGGGGTATGAGGACAAGGAGCTGGGGTATGAGGACAAGGAGCTGGGGTATGAGGACAAGGAGCTGGGGGTATGAGAACAAGGAGCTGGGGTATGAGGACAAGGAGCTGGGGGTATGAGGACAAGGAGCTGGGGGTATGAGGACAAGAAGCTGGGGTATGAGGACAAGGAGCTGGGGTATGAGGACAAGGAGCTGGGGTATGAGGACAAGGAGCTGGGTGTATGAGGACAAGGGGCTGGGGGTATGAGGACAAGGGGCTGGGGGTATGAGGACAAGGAGCTGGGGTATGAGGACAAGGAGCTGGGTGTATGAGGACAAGGAGCTGGGTGTATGAGGACAAGGAGCTGGGTGTATGAGGACAAGGGGCTGGGGGTATGAGGACAAGGTGCTGGGGGTATGAGGACAAGGTGCTGGGGGTATGAGGACATGGAGCTGGGGTATGAGGACAAGGAGCTGGGGTATGAGGACAAGGAGCTGGGGTATGAGGACAAGGAGTTGGGGGTATGAGGACAAGGAGCTGGGGTATGAGGACAAGGAGCTGGGGGTATGAGGACATGGAGCTGGGGTATGAGGACAAGGAGCTGGGGTATGAGGACAAGGAGCTGGGTGTATGAGGACAAGGGGCTGGGGGTATGAGGACAAGGGGCTGGGGGTATGAGGACAAGGTGCTGGGGGTATGAGGACAAGGAGCTTGGGTATGAGGACAAGGAGCTGGGGGTATGAAGACATGGAGCTGGGGTATGAGGACAAGGAGCTGGGGTATGAGGACAAGGAGCTGGGTGTATGAGGACAAGGAGCTGGGTGTATGAGGACAAGGGGCTGGGGGTATGAGGACAAGGGGCTGGGGGTATGAGGACAAGGTGCTGGGGGTATGAGGACAAGGAGCTTGGGTATGAGGACAAGGAGCTGGGGGTATGCGGACAAGGAGCTGGGGGTATGAGGACAAGGAGCTTGGGGTATGAGGACAAGGAGCTGGGGGTATGAGGACATGGAGCTGGGGTATGAGGACAAGGAGCTGGGGTATGAGGACAAGGAGCTGGGGGTATGAGGACAAGGAGCTGGGGGTATGAGGACAAGGAGCTGGGGGTATGAGGACAAGGAGCTGGGGTATGAGGACAAGGAGCTGGGGGTATGAGGACAAGGTGCTGGGGGTATGAGGACAAGGAGCTGGGGGTATGAGGACAAGGAGCTGGGGTATGAGGACAAGGTGCTGGGGTATGAGGAGTAGGTGAAGGAACGGTACGCAATCACTAGGACCATCAGGCATCGAACTCAGACCTTGCAGTAAACGAGGTCTATTTCTCTATGGAATAGCCATATGGCCTGGGCCTCAGAGCCAGTCCTCTCCGGTTTGGCTCTTCAAGTTAAGGAGTTAATTATCCAGTATTGTAAAACTAACCTTAACTAACCTAAACTAACCTAAACAAATTTATAAACCGAGTGAAGTTGAACTCGTTTCTCAAGATTATTACCACTAAACATGAGTGATCTCACACAGCTGGAAAATGTTCAAAGGTATGCTACTAGACTAGTCCCAGAACTAAGAGGCATGAGTTACGAGGAAAGGCTGCGGGAAATGCACCTTACGACACTGGAAGACAGAAGAGTAAGGGGCGACATGATCATTACCTACAAAATTCTCAGAGAAATTGGCAGGGTAGATAAAGACAAACTATTCAACACTGGTGGTACGCGAACAAGGGGACACAGGTGGAGACTGAGTACCCACATGAGCCACAGGGACGTTAGAAGGAACTTTTCCGTGTCTGAGTAGTTAACAGGTGGAATACATTAGGCAGTGATGTGGTGGAGGCTGACTCCATACACAGTTTCAAGTGTAGATATGATAGAGCCCAGTAGGCTCAGGAACCTGTACACCTGTTGATTGACAGTTGAGAGGCGGGACCAAAGAGCCAGAGATCAACCCCCACAAGCACAACTAGGTGAGTACAACTGGTAATTACACCACAACCTACAACAACCCACAACCACCATCACCCACAACCACCATCACCCACAACCACCATCACCCACAACCACCATCACCCACAACCACCATCACCCACAACCACCACCACCCACAACCACCACCATCCACAACCACCACCACCCACAACCACCACCACCCACAACCACCACCACCCACAACCACCACCTACAACCACCACCACCCACAACCACCACCTACAACCACCACCACCCACAACCACCACCTACAACCACCCACAACCACCACCACCCACAACCACCCACAACCACCACCTACAACCACCCACAACCACCACCACCCACAACCACCCACAACCACCACCACCCACAGCCACCACCACCCACAACCACCACCACCCACAACCACCACGTCCCACAACCACTAACAACCACCACCCACAACCACCACGTCCCACAACCACCAACAACCACCACCCACAGCCACCACCACCCACAGCCACCACCACCCACAGCCACCACCACCCACAACCACCCACAGCCACCACCACCCACAACCACCACCACCCACAACCACCACCACCCACAACCACCCACAACCACCACCACCCACAGCCACCACCACCCACAACCACCACCACCCACAACCACCACGTCCCACAACCACTAACAACCACCACCCACAACCACCACGTCCCACAACCACCAACAACCACCACCCACAGCCACCACCACCCACAGCCACCACCACCCACAACCACCCACAGCCACCACCACCCACAACCACCACCACCCACAACCACCACCACCAACAACCACCACCCACAACCACCACGTCATACAACCACCAACCACCACCACCCACAACCACCACCACAACCACCACCTACAACCACCCACAACCACCACGTCCTACAACCACCAACAACCACCACCCACAACCACCACCTACAACCACCCACAACCACCATCACCCACAACCACCACCACCCACAACCACCACCACCCACAACCACCACCTACAACCACCCACCACCACCCACAACCACCCACAACCACCACAACCACCAGGTCACCAAGCCTCCCGCCAGTGGTACCATATAAGGTAGACCCATCTCCGTGTTGATGCTTGGTGTGGGCGGGCGTGGGTGGGCGTGGGCGGGTGTTGTGGGCGTGGGCGGCGGACCTCAGGTAAGTTTTTCCAGTGGTATGACTGGTGGGCGTGTGGGCGGGGACTCGAACCTGGCTCCAGGATGTCACCCCTCAGCCACCCTCCCTCTCACGTGCTCACGTGCACCAGGTAATGTACGGCTCTGCTCTCTCTTACGTACTCCGGGGCACGTACTCTGGGGCACGTACTCTGGGGCACGAACTTCGGGGCACGTACTCCGGGGCATGCACTCCGAGGCACATACTCCGGGGCACGTACTCTGGGGCACATACTCCGGGGCACGTACTCCGAGGCACGTACTCCGGGGCACGTACTCCGAGGCACGTACTCCGGGGCACGTACTCTGGGGCACGTACTCCGGGGCACGTACTCCGGGGCACGTACTCCGAGGCACGTACTCCGGGGCACGTACTCCGAGGCACATACTCTGGGGCACGTACTCTGAGGCACGTACTCTGAGGCACATACTCCGAGGCACGTACTCTGGGGCACGTACTCTGGGGCACGTACTCCGAGGCACGTACTCCGAGGCACGTACTCTGGGGCACGTACTCCGAGGCACGTACTCTGGGGCACGTACCCTGGGGCACGTACTCCGAGGCACGTACTCCGGACCACATACTCTGGGGCACGTACTCCGGGACACGTACTCTGAGGCACGTACTCTGGGGCACGTACTCCGGTGCACGTCCTCTGTGGCACGTATTCTGGGGCACGTACTCCGGGGCACGTACTCTGGGGCACGTACTTCAGGCCAGGCGAGGCCAGTAGGCGCTGGCCAAGAGGGAGACTGGGCCGTTGGAGGGAGGGCCAAGGAGCGGCCAGTAGGCAGCTCCATAAGGACGTGCGGCCACAAACATGAATGAAAAGTCATTGTATCAACTGGCTGGGTGGGGGGCACGCCCACGGCCACCACGCCCACGGCCACCACGCCCACGGCCTCCACGCCCACGGCCTCCACGCCCACGGCCACCACGCCCACGCCCACCACGCCCACGGTCACCACGCCCACGGCCTCCACGCCCACCACGCCCGCAGCCTCCACGCCCACGGCCCCAAGATGAGATCACTCTGTAAAGCGCTGCCTTCCGTGTCTCCCACGACCCCAAGACCGCAACCTGCTCTCGCACAAGACAGCACATATATGACTTATTGCGTATAGTCACTATTTCGTTTATAAATAAGTACATATGTGACATATTCCGAGCCATTTTTTTCAAGGCACTAACTTTTCCTCTAAGTTTTATTAAACAATAGAGATTTTATAAAAAAATTGACAATATCCTGAGTTACTTTACAATATATTTAAATATTTTAGTTTTGTTTTATTATTTTTATAAAACTATAATATCAATATAGGTATTGGTTCAGTACTAATTGTAATATCTTAACATACTAAGAAGGTTAGGTTAGGTTGTGGTTTCCTATTCAGTTTTTCAAGGTAAAATATTCACAATAAATTAGTA